ATTGTACATGAACCTCATTTAATGAGGTAGAAAATTTGCACCGGGGTAGTTGGGTTTTTTACCCTATAAATACCCATGCAATGGCAAGGCAAAAAAGCAAGCAAGAAGCAAAGAGTGCAACACCAAAGTGAGCAAAAAAAGAGGGCTCCGGGAAAAGAAAAGAAAAAAGGGGGTGAGAGCTAGGCATTAAAAGCTTAGGTGTAAGAGTGCTCCATAGAGAGAGTACATTGAGTGATAAAATTGTGAGTTTATCAGGATTGTGATCATATCCTGGGGGAGTGGGAAACACCAAGAGAGAGAAAAATACTTATGTGTATACTCTGTACAATTTTATCATATAGTGAAATACTTTTTGGAGGTTGTCCCGTGGTTTTTTTCCCTCAATAGTTTTTTGGGGGTTTTTCCACGTAAAATTTGGTGTTATTTTGCTTGTTTATTTTCCTGCTTAAGTGGCTGGTTGAACCGCCCATTTTATTTATATTTCTTAAGTGGCAGGTTGAACCGCCCATTTTATTTTGCTTGGTCGGCTAAGCCGCCTTTTTTTCACTAACCGTTATATTGGTCGGCTAAACCGCCTGTTTCACCGTTCTTTGTTATTGTTTACATGTTTTATTCACAGGAATTATTTATTCCGCGCGCCAATTTTTTCCTAACAACTGGTATCAAAGCCAGGCGTTGCTAATATTCACGTGAACAATGGAGGTGAACCAGAGCAAAATGATCACGCTGAATAGTTCAAACTATCAGCTGTGGAAGGGGAAAATGGAAGACCTTCTTTATGTGAAGGAATTTCATGAGCCTGTCTTTTCAGAGCAAAAGCCAGACAGCATGAAGGATGAAGAATGGAGACTACTCCATAGGCGAGTGTGTGGATTTATCAGGCAATGGATTGATGATAGTGTGCTGAATCATATCAATGATGAAACTAATGCACGCACACTATGGACAAAGCTAGACCAGCTTTTCCGGGCAAAGACTGGGCAGAATAAATTGTGCCATATAAAGCAATTAATGTACTCAAGGTACAAAGATGGCACTCCCACAGCAGACCATGTTAATAATTTCCTTGGCATCATCAAGGAGTTAGCCAATCTCGGCATAGAATTTGATGATGAGGTGAATGGTCTGATTCTTCTCAATACCTTGCCGGAATCATGGGAGAGTTTTAGATCAACGACAATCAACTCATCTCCTGGTGGTCAAGTCACACTCGAAATTGCCAAAAACAGGATCTTTGAAGAGGAAAAGAGGATGCGGGCACTAGGAGTCTTCTCGCAACCAGATACTCAAGCTCTTGTCATGGAGAATAGAGGCAGGAGTAAAACCAGAGAACCCAGAGGACGAGGAGGCAGATCCAGATCAAAGTCCAAAAGTGGAGTGAAATGCTATCATTGTGGCCAACTAGGCCACATGAAAAGGAATTGCTACTTGTTGAAAGGAAAAGACAAGAAAAAGGCTGAAGATGGCAATACAATCGCTGTAGCATCTACCAGTGGCGGTGACGTGACTCTACTATGTGATCGTGGGGAATGCTGCCATGTAGAAAACTCAGATGCTGAGTGGATAATTGATTCTAGTGCCTCTTATCATTGTGTTCCCAAAAGGGAATATTTTTCAACATACAAAGCAGGAGACTTTGGCACCATAAAAATGGGAAACAAGAGTGTTTCTCATATTATGGGAGTTGGTGATATCTGTGTCCAGACAAATGTTGGATGCACATTAACATTGAAAAATGTGCGACATGTTCCCGATATGCATATGAATCTGTTGTCTGCAAAAGCACTGGATGAAGAAGGATACGCACACTACTTCGGGAATGGCAACTGGAAACTCACCAAAGGATCAATGGTGGTGGCAAAAGGGAGAGCATGTTGCTCATTATACAAGACACACATGAAAATGTGTGGAGGTCAACTGAACATAGTTGAAGATGAGGCTTCTCCAAATTTATGGCATAAAAGATTGGCTCACATGAGTGAGAAAGGATTGCAACTTTTAGCTAAGTAGTCCCTTGTTCCCATTGCCAAAGGTGGACATGTGAATCCTTGTGATGTTTGCCGATTTGGAAAGCAACACCGAGTTTCTTTTCAAAAGAATTTGACTTGGAAGGAGAACAAGCTAGACTTGGTCTACTCTGACGTTTGTGGTCCCCTAGAGGTAGAGTCGTTTGATGGCAATAAATATTTTGTTACCTTTATTGATGATGCAACTCGGAAGACTTGGGTATACTTGTTGCAGAATAAAAGCCAAGTTTTCAAGTATTTCCAACATTACCATGCTATGGTGGAAAGGGAGACAGGGTTGAAGTTGAAATGTCTTCGTACAGATAATGGAGGGGAGTACACCTCCAAAGAATTCAGAGACTACTGTTTGAAGCATGGCATAAGGCATGAAAAGACGGTTCCTGGCACTCCACAACACAACGGTGTTGTAGAACGGATGAACCGTACCATTGTGGAGAAAGTTCGATGCATGCTAAGAATGGCAACTCTACCTAAGCCATTCTGGGGTGAAGCAGTCAACACAGTAGTTTATTTGATCAACCGGTCACCTTCAGTTCCTTTGAATTTTGAAATCCCGGAGAAAGCTTGGACGGGAAAGGACGTTGGATACTCTCACTTGAGAGTGTTCGGATGCAAAGCATTTATGCACGTGCCAAAGGAACAGAGATCAAATCTGGATGATAAAGCCATTCCATGCATTTTTGTTGGATATGGTGATGAGGAGTTTGGCTATAGACTATGGGACCCAAAAAAGAAGAAAACCGTTAGAAGTAGAGATGTCGTGTTTCATGAACACGAGAAAATTAATGATTTGAAGGAGGAAAAAGCTACAAGAAGCTCTGGAGAGGGTGTAGAAGATCTAACACCGGCAAAAACTCCTTCAAGAAAAATTTCAGATGAAGAAGAGGTGCAAGCACCAGAAGATGAGACAGAGGAGCCAACAATTGAAGAAGATGAAGCAAGTATAGATGGGGGAAATGATGAGCAGGAGGAGCAACCCCTGCCACAGGAGGAAGAACCTCAGTTGAGAAGGTCCACCAGAGAGCAGAAACCATCTGCAAGATACCCCAGTTCTGATTACATCTTGATCACTGAAGAGGGGGAGCTGGAGAACTTCCAGGAGGTGCAGTCTCACCAAGACAAAGACTGCTGGATGAAAGCCATGAGAGAAGAAATGAACTCCCTGCACAAGAACAATACTTATGAGCTTGTGGAACTTCCCAAAGGAAGAAAAACCCTGAAAAACAAGTGGGTATTCAAGCTCAAGAAAGATGGTGACAAGATAGTCAGATATAAGGCTCGATTGGTGGTAAAGGGCTTCAATCAGAAAAAGGGGATTGATTTTGATGAAATATTTTCCCCAGTGATAAAGATGAGCTTGATTCGCGTTGTGCTTGGTCTAGTAGCAAGCATGAATCTTGAGCTTGAGCAGTTAGATGTGAAAACTGCATTTCTTCATGGTGACTTGCATGAGGAAATTTATATGGATCAGCCAGAAGGTTTTGAAGAACA